TGCCATGGCATCTGGATTGGCCTTGCTCCTGATCTCTGGCCTCCCTCCACCTCTGAGGTACTGGATTTATAGCTCAGGCTAGCCTAGAACTTACTGTATAGTTCAGGATGGCCCCAAGCCTCTAGCAGTCCTCCTGAATTAGCCTCTTGATTACTTTGATTACAGGCATGAACCACCACATCTGGCTAAAATTTTCTCTTTAATTTTTTTTTAATTCAAGATTGAACTCAGGGCATCACACATTCTAGACAATCCTAAAATTAATTGTAATCGATAAGTTATATAATTATTTCTATGATATTATAGAACAAAATCCCAAAACCTTTGGCCTCGCCCTAGGCATACTAGACAAGTGCTCTGTCAGCAAACTACACATTCAATGGCCTCAATTTTCTTAGTTTTCTACTTAGTGTTTTTTTAATTAAAATTTTAATTATTTTCTTATTTTTAATTATGTGTATATATGTACATCTGTGCATGGCTATGTGCACAAGTGCACTGCCCACAGAGGACTGAAGAAGGCATCAGATCTATGGGAGCTAGAGCCATATTGTGAGCCACTGGATACGGTCTTAGAAGCCTCCATCCTCTGAAAAGCAGGGAACGCTAATCACTGAGCCGTTTCTCCAGCCGCACCCCATCACTGGTTTTCACTCATGACATCCCCTGGGTGGTGGTACTTAATTATTGTTCCTGTAATGTCTTTCCTACAAATGGTACTTAGATCTAGAACTGCTTATGATTCAGATTTAGTTGTTTTTTTAAACAAACAAAACAAAACCCAAAAAACCTCCTTGGTAGTGTTGTCTACTTCTGCCTAGAAGTGCATTATGTCACATTACCTCTGTTAATAAGACCAGTGAAGGCTACCATCACTTGCCTTTATACATCACAGCTTTCACATTAGGGATACATTAGCACTGTAATGCCTTCATCCCTTATTTGGAATATTTCTGCATGGAAATGCTTGTTCATGTTCCTACAAATAAAGTTAGGATAGAAAAGGAAGGCCAACATGCTGTTTTCCTTTCTGAATATTTAGAGTGCCTGCTTTCTAGGCTCCTCCAAAGGCAACTGATAAGATTAAGAATATAGTGAAATGGGGCTGTGAAATGGCTTAGCTAGTGAAGCTCCTGCTCTGGAGCCTCATGACTATGGGGACAAAATGGATGCACACAGTAGAGATTCCGAAGCTGGGCCTCCTGCTGCCACACCTGTGCGGTGGCTAGTGTTGATCAACTGAGCTACACCGCAAATCCTAAAGTTATTTTTAAATTGACAGACATACTCAACACACATACAAATAACATTATACACACACAAACACATACGCACAGCCACACATGTACACAGACACATACACCACACACACACACACTTCGCTGTGGCTGAGGAGGTAGTTTGTCAGTGCTTTCTTTGCACATACAAAGCTCCTGGTCCACACACCCAGCACCAAATAAAACCAAATATGGCGTTGGCAAATGCTAGTAATTACGCCACTTGGGAGGTGGAGGCAGGTGAATAGGAAGCTCGAGGCCATCCTAGGCAATTTAGCAAGTTGGAAACCAGTTTGGGGTAACCTGAGTCCCTGTCTCAAAAGTAAACAAATAAACATGTACTTTGATTGTTAAGACCAGGGGGCTGGGGAGATGTGGTTTGGAGCACTTGTTCCTGGACGACTCAGGTTTGATTCCCAGCACTCACATGGTGACTCACAACCTCCTGTAACTCCAGTCCCAGTGCATCCAATGTCCTCTACTGACCTCCACTGGCACCAGGTATGCATATGACACATGCACACATACATATATGCAGACAAGACATTCATATACATACACTAAATCTAAACAAAAACAGGCATGGTGTCATAATTCCAGCACTTATGAAGTTGATGCAGGAAGATCATCAGGTCCAGGCCAGCCTGGGCTACATAGTAAAACCTGTGTCAACAAAAAACAAAAGATAAACAAAAAAAACCTTCAGTTTTCAGTTATGATTCTTACTGATGCTTGAATTGTTCCATGTAGCAGCAGTTTCCCTAGGTTTGTCTTTGAGTCTGGTACTACTTGTCATAGAGCTCACTATGTAGACTAAGTTAGCCCCTAACCCTAGACCATGTGGTGGGGCTCAGCTAAACTTTCTTTGGACAGAGCTTCCAGGCTCGTTTCTTGTCACAGACCTCTCAGCACCAGCAGGTGATCTGGTTCATTCCAGCTGGAAACAGGGACAGTCTGGAAAAGGCCATTTGCCTGCTTACCTCCAATAAGTAGCCAGGGCATAAAATCAAGCCAGCCTCTCTCTTGCTTTTGGGTCTTTCAGTGTTCTCTGTTGCCCTCAGAGAGCAGTCAACTCCCTAACGCCTCCTACTGGGGACCTTGCTAACTACTGACCTACTTATTTAGACGCCTAATTCCTATCTCCGGTTATTCTCCTTAACCCAGCAAAACCTGTGCTGTCCTTGCTGAGCCGTGCACTGGCTTGTGCCTTACTTGGCCTGAAGCCTCCATTCCTACTGTCTTCCTCCATTCCTATTGTCTTCCCCGATCTCTCTCCATCATACCTCTTTGACTTATCCTTCAAGATTTAGCCTTAGGTGTGTCATCTCCAAAGAGCACCCCAGACCCAACAAGACTGTCGAAAGCTCACAGTGATCACCTGTTCAAACATGCAATGGGCCGTGTGTGTGTATAGGTCTGCAGTCAGATGTCTCCAATTGCTCTGCACTTGATGAGGCAAATCCACAGGTTGACCTTCCAGCCAGGCAACTTCTTGTCCCGGCAATTCCATCTCTGCCTCCCAGAGGCTGCCCAGGCCAATTCTACTTTTACAAGAGTTCTGAGGACCTCAACTCCAGCCAGCTTGCACTGCAAGTGCTAATCCTCTCAGCCTCCTAAGCATGAGATATTTACAGTTAGCTCTCCAGTGCTAGTGGACAATACATGCCCAAGTGGGAACCATCTTATTAGATCCCACATCGGGAGAATGGCTACCCCTAATCCCAACACTGTTAGGGAGTGTCTTTAGTGAGGGTTTCTATTGCTGTGAAGAGATATCATGACCACAGCAACTCTTAAAAGGGAAACATTTCATTGGAACGGCTTACAGTGAAGAGGTTCAGTCCATTATCATCATGGCAGAACAAAGCAGTATGCAAGCAAACATGGTGGGAGCAGCTGAGTCTCCCATGTCTTGCAGGCAACAGGAAGTTGTCTGAGACATTGGGCAGTATCCTGAGCAAAGGAAACCTCAAAGCTCACCCCCACAGTGACACACTTCCTCCAAGACCATACTCCAAGGAAGCCATACCTAACAGTGCCACTCACTGAGATTATGGGGCCAATGACATCTAAACTACCACAAGGGAATCCTCTTCCATTGCTGCAACCCATGTCTTCCTCACTCTGGTTCTGGCTGGACAAAGTTCAGTTTATTATCCTCAGATTAGTGTTGCTAGGGAAGATGAAAAGGGTGTTTGCCTTGCAGTTCATACAGGCTGCAAAGATTATGGGTGAAGAGGTTTTGCTGAAATAGATACATTTTCCATCTCACCCAAAGAGCAACACTAGCTCAGGACAAAAAGGATAACAATGCCCCAGAACTCTCATTACCTGCACATGGTTAAGAGACTAAGGACTCTGGCACCAACTGCCTCTTCTGTTTTTGTTTTGGTTTGTTTTTTGTTTTTGTTTTTTCTGGGCAGGCATTTACTATTAGCTGGTGGTGTAACCTTGGCAGCAACTGAGCCCATATAGTAAATGCATCACCTTCCTTGGCTATTAAGACTACAATAAAACAGGGTCAGTGAGATGGCTCAATGGGTAAAGGGGACCTAAGGCCAAACCCTGGAACCCATACTAAGATGGAGAGAACCCACTTTAACAAAGTTGTCCGCTGACTTCCAAACATGCCACAACCCACCCCCAACAGTAAACTTAAAATGTTGAAAATGAAGGCAATGTTTAAAGCCCAAATAAAAGTACCTCACAAGTGGGTGCACTTAGAAGCCACTTTGCAGTGTGACATTTGTTAGCAATCAAATGTGGTGTGCTTGTGCTGGGGAGAGGATTCTGCAGTTAAGGGCACATCCTGTTCTTATAGAGGACTCTAGTTTAATTCCCAAGACCCACATCACCATTACAACTGTAATTTTAGCTCCAGGTGCTCACATTTTGGGGGGGGGGGGTGGCTTGCCTGTGCCTCTCCTTTCCATACAAGAATAAACTACATTTTCAAGTTTTTAGGATGAGCTTTTTTACAGTGAGGTGGTATGAGGGATTTTCTCAATTAGAGAAAAGTATGGTGCTTAGCTGGGATAGTGTATGGTGGTTTGATATGTTCCCCATAGGAACATTTGAACACTTGGTCCTATGGTGACCAAGAACTGTTTAGGAGAGTTATGTCACTGGAGGTAGACTTTGCCAGTCTACCTCCAGATTTTTACTATTTCCAGTACCTATATGCTCAGATAAACTCTTCCTTTTACATGTTGCCCTAGTCATGGTGTCTCATCACAGCACAGGAAGTAACTAATACTGACGATGGTTTACAGGGTCCAAATAGATCAACTGTGAACAACCTGAATGGGTAAGAGCAACAATAAGAATCCAGCTAAGCAGGTCAAGTAGAACAGACTGAGCTCATCTTACATATGCACTTATAGGGATTTTTATTCACTGATGCTCCTGGAGTAGGGTCTGGCCAGAGTGTTGAAACTCAAGTAATTGTGGGATGAGTGATATGCATTCCCCAACTCTGAAGCTGTTGCACATCCTAATTAACTGTATCAGCCACTACGAGCAGCAGAGGTTAGGGTGAGGAGAGGGCTCTGGAGGCTGGGGCATGCTGGGGTTCCAGAGTAGGAGGCCTAAGTGTGGTCCTTGCTTCCGTCTCTATGAGAAGAACAGTGAGTCCAGGAACTCCTGGCTCCCACCAGCAATATTCTAAACAGTAACCGAACTCTCACCCAGCCTGCCTTTAATTTAACACACTTAGACATCAGAAAAGGTTAAGGAATTTTCTTTATTTTTTACAAATTAAGACTATGTAGATATATTTTTTTAATCAAAAACACCTTTGTCTTCACAGTATGAGTTAAAGAATGCAGCCTGAGCTGGAAAACCAAAGAACTAGGAAAGAAAGTGGAGATGACAATGATACCTGTATTAAAAACCTGTTAGCATTTTCTTTAAAAGTAGTTTTATATCTTATCATTCTTGGCACTGTTTCTAAAGAAAACTCCTTTATCCCAAGCAAAAAAGCACAAGAGCTGGAGTCTGGCTTCAGGAGGTGGAACTAAGTTAGATCCTAGACCTTGCAAAGAACCACTATAATGGAGAGTTGCTGATGTCCCTTGTGGGCACAGGCTCCAAGGAGGCAGGGTGGAGGCAGCAGGCAAACAGGGCAGTGTGTTCAACTGCACTGCCCAAGTGACACCCTGCTTATAATGGGCTCTTGGTGGCTTGGTCCTTTGAATTGAAAACACAAATAGCCAGGGCCATGATAACTCCTGATGCCGCCTTTCTGTGCAGGCTGGTAGCCCATAGTTTGGTCACCTGGCTTCTGCCCAGACCTAAAATTTCTAGAAACAGGTGAACAAACAAGACTAAAGTGCATCTGTAAGTGAATATTACCTACGGCCTCAAATCTCTGTCTTGACACTTCCTAACAGTGTCCAGGCAGATGACAAAAATGCACTGAAGAGCTGTTAGGAGTGCCACCTTCAAGTTATCACAGTCAAGATCCCCTGCAAGGAAGTGCTCAGCTGGTGGAGACTTGTCCCTTGCTGAAGTTCTACAGAGGTTTTTCTGGCAGGATTCAGTACAATCAGCCCTGGGGCTCAACCATCCTCCTTTCCTATCCTTCCCCCAAGACTTAACCACAGCCGCCTAGTGGAGGCCAATCAGTAACAAAGGTGATAATTTTAAAAACCAACAACAAAACCAACAGGGAAACTTGAGAGCTGCCATCTCTACCCTGCCATACATTCTTCTTTCTGTACTCAGGCCTTCCCACCCCACAGATGGAAAGCAAGTAGAGTCCCTGAGGGCCACTCTGGTGGGAAAGGGAACACCCACAAATCCACATTCCCTTCAAGGCAAGGCAGACAGGTGTTTGCTAGGCCAATTCAGGCAGAGAGGAAGCAAAGCAGCCACCAGAGTCACTCTTTGGCAGGCTGATAACTCAGGACAGGAAAGCTCCATCCCAGGGCAAACACAGTGTCCAGGCTCTCTGGACTGTGAAAACCAAACACAAGGGTCAAGAGGCTCCAGCAACAGTCTGGGAGGGTCCGTCTGCGGAGATGTGGCAGGAAGGTGGACATCTGCTCCTCGCTCATCTTGGTGGACTGGCTGCCTGAGCAGAGCAAGAGGCTATGGATCGGCTGACAGAAAAGGGATCGTGGGAGAACCTCAGGAATGTGAAGCCAAACTCCAAACTATATTCACTAATCAGTTTTTTGATCAAAAAAATTCAAAATAGAGAAAACCACAAAGTACAAAAGCTTTTCTGATGCTTTTCATTATCATAGAACACGACACCTGTAATGTGTGCAGAGAAATGAGGGCGGGAGAGGAGTCAAGCTGGGGATGCCGGTGGCCGAATCACTTCTTTTCTTTCTTCTTGTCCTACAAAGAAAAACCATCTAAGTATTTCTCCCCTGACATGCAACTCTAAATGCATGAGTGCTGACAGAGGATGTGAAAGAATCTAGACAATGGAGAGGATGAGAAATGCTTGAACGAACCAACCTTGGGTGCAAGCCCAAGACAGAAAAGAAACAGAGCTCACCAACTGAGAGGGGAGCAGTTATCTCCACCATGTTCAGCCCAAACAGAACCCAACCCCACCCTGTCACGGCTCCCACCCCACTGCACCCACTGTCCTGTCCTCCAGAGTCAGGCTTATAAAGGAAAGCTCAGAGGGTCATTCATTCCTCTACCGTTGGACTACACTGACTAATACATTGTTTTCTGGGGGGAAAATTAAGGTTAACAATTGGACAGGACTAGAGAGATAGCTCAGTAGTTAAAAGTCCTGGCTGTTCTTGCAAAGGACCTGGGTTTGAATGCCAGCACACACACACAGTGGCTCAGAATTGGTTTTTGGGGTCATAATGGTCTGTAACTCGTTCCAGGGAATCCAATGCATGCAGTATGCATGTATACATGCAGTCGCCATGTATACATATAAATACATATAAAAACTTTAAAAAACAACTGAAAGAGATTAACAAGTGGATAAACTGATCTCCTGACAAAAGGACAGCTGTCATTGAACTTTTCAAAATCTCACATCTACATAGATATGAGCAGGCTCTCTCACGTGCAGGCTTCAGACTCACTAACCTTCTCATTCAAAGCCAGGATCAGCATGAGCTTCCTGAAGAGTGTAACAAAATCTAAGAAGAGGTCGATGCAGTGCCTGAAAGAGAATATCTAGTTCATTCACAGCACTCCCCACTTCCCTCAGCAGCAGCCCCCACTGCCAGGACACAGTGCTGCCCAACCAGGAGCCACTCCCTCCAACACCCCACCCCACTAGGAAACACTGGGATCCTTTTCAACTCGACTTAACAAATCCATGAGGCACCAGAGACCAGGCTTTCTACAGGCTTTCTACGAACAGAGACCAGGTCTGAACCTGTAACTACCAGTGATGAGACCTAAAGGAATGTCCCTCTAACAAATTCTGTGCACCTCTCATGGTTACCACTGAAAACAATAAAACAAAGCCCCTTTACTCCTGGATGCCTGGAAGAGGTAGCCAATAAAACTGTGCTGTGCAGGGGTCCTAAGCTCCACTCCAGTGACGAAGCTTTGTCTGTAGTGCTTGCCCAGCACAGATGAAACCCTGTATCTAATCTGCTGGCGTATGCCTGTAATGCCAGCACTCAGGAGGTAGAGGATCACAAATTCAAGGTCATTCTTAGTTACTCAGTGAGTTCAAGCCCAGCCTGGACTACATGAGACCACCTTCTTTCTTAAAAAAAAAAAAACCAAAAAAAAAAAAAACCCCCACATTTTCCCACATATGTACAGCCATGAAATGGAACAGTCTGTGTCGACCTTTATTCAATGCAGACCAGTTCTCATACTTACCAGATGTAATCCTTATCTCCATTTTCAGCCTTCTCAATAATGAGCTGAGTATCAAAAAGGACAAAGCCGCACATGACCAGCAGCCCCATATACAAGTTTGCCTAATAAAAGAAAGAGACACAGTTGCATGTGGTAGATGTAGTAGTGGGGAAAACAGCCCATTTCCTGCCTCTTACTCATTTTGAAAACACATCACATGCTAACCCAGGAGACAGTAAAGTTCTGTTTTCACTCCTTCCGGTCACTAATCTGCACTGAGGCAAACAGTCTCCTCAGCTGTGCCTAACCATGCAGAAGGTCATGTCCTCTGAAGGTTCTCAAGGTCTGTAGGGCATTGCCCAAACAAGGTGAGGGCTCTAGAGGAATCATCTCTTTGGACTTAGAGAAAGTATATACTGGAGATTCAGTATAAAATCTCACCTGGAAGAGCCAAATGGATCCAAAGAAAAGGTTCCCCAGCGAGGACAAGAACATGAGGCTCATGGCTGACATCAAGATGCCTAGTAAGACAGAGCAAAAGTTGTCACGAGAAAGCCAAAACAGGGCAAAAGTAATCCCATTAAGGCCATTTCTAACTGTCTCCCCAAAGGAAGGCTTTTAGAGACTTGACATTTCCAGAAAAGACGGTCTACTGACAGTTCTATAGAGCAGAGCCCGAGCTTGTCTTCCAGTCCCTACCTCCCAAGAAGAGGTAGCTCCGGCGCCTGGCATAGAGTGCACTCAAGCTGAAGCAGGTGAAGATCATGGCTGTGCCCATGAAAGCGGTGGGGAGGATGCTGTGAAAGAAAAGGCCATGAGTTGAGAGCTCCAACCATGTGCTCTGTATTCAGAAGGCATAGTCACACAGGTACAGAACACAGTAAAAGCAATTACCTGGGATTGATAGCAATGCACAACTCCAAAGCAGGGCCCAGGCCAACTCCTAGAAAACAAACCCCCAGAACACAAAATTACCACCAATTCTATTACAGGCATTCATTCTCATTAAAATAATAATAATAATGAACCAAAGCAATTCACTGTACCCTTTCCTCAAAAGAATAGATAACAGAGTCAATCCATAGATCTTTCTTTCTCTTAGCTCAAAACCATGGATATTTTCAGGAAGAACAGAAATTAGAAACAACAAAAGAGCAAGCAGAATGTCAAATGTCATGTGTCCTTGAGACTGTAGTATGGGCGAGATCAGGGACCCGGTAGAAGGATGGAAAATAGAGCCTGGCAGCCAGTGACTTCACAGTCCTGCAGGATCAAGTCCTTGGTAGTGAATGGCAGTCAGACTAGTTTTTCAGGGTGATCACATGGCAACGGGAGAGCAACTTGCTGCAGCCCAGTATTTCTTCTACTCTGGCTATTTCCTTCCTGATAATCTCCCCTAACACCTCCAATAACTAGTGTTCTCTGAGCCAACTCCTAAGTCCCCAATCTTTTCCTTTCTAAAATTTCCTAACACTGTACAGACTATCTATCCCTCAAAAGCTGGTGCATTTTAAAGGACTTTATTATATAGTTCCAATCTTGTTTTCTTCATGAGAACTCTAAAATAGATGACCATTTTTTTGTTTGTTTATTTGAAACAAGGTTTTCCCATGCAGCCCTGGCTGTCCTGGAACTCACTCCGTAGACCAGGCTGGCCTTGAATGCAGGGATCTGCCTGTCTGCCTCCCAAGTGCTAGGACTAAAGGTGTGAGCCATCACACCCAAGCAAGAGATGGATTTTTAACCAGACTCTGACTTTATGTATACCATTTAAAAAGTCTTGTATCTCATTCATTTGAGCCACAGCTATTTTTAGGTCATAGTTGCTAGCTACCAAGTACTATCTAAAAGGTGTTTAACTCTACATGCAAGACAAAGCAAAAACAAATAAAAAACCAACACTCAAATACTGGTGGGTACAGAGCAAGGAGACTAGAAGAGAGAAATCACAGCAATGTGACTTTGGGGAAACTCTGAGAGAATTGTTCTTAAAGTATTATACAGACAAAAAAAAATAGGTCACTTGGAAAATCATAGTTAAACTTAGGCTTTAAGGGGCTGGAGAGATGGCTCAGTGGTTCAGAGCACTGGCTCCTCTTCCAGAGGACCTGAGTTCAATTCCCAGCACCCACATGGCAGTTCACAACTGTCTGTAACTCCAGTTCCAGGGGATCTGATACCTTTCCATCAACACAAAGTTAATTAAAAAAAAAAAAAAAAAAAAACCTTAGGCTTTAATCTAAACAAGAACTAAAAATAAACATCTCTTCACATACCTGTGAGGAAAGCAAAGCCAGCGAGAAGTCCCAATCTTTTTTGCTCAGTTTCATGGCTATGAGGTGTTGCCATCAGCCAGATCATCAAGCCCAAGGAGCCCAAGGCAGAGAGCAGGCCAGCCTGTAAGAGCCAGTCAACAAAGAGACAGTTCAAAGTTTCATGTCTGCTAGGCTCAAATACTCATATGAAATTTCTAACATTTGCTTCTTCACCTAGAGGTAGAGAAAAATGTAGTAGGTTCTCAGAGTAAGGGGACAGAAACCAGAGGCCTGGAGGTGAGGGCTAAGACCATGATGGATACCAAGAGCACATTGCATCTGTAGGACAGCTTGTTCACTTAAAAGAAGGGAAAACAAACAAAAAAATATCAGTTGACTTGAGTTATCTGATCCCTAGGACCCAAGTGATTAAAGGAAGAAATGCATGCACTGTGGTTCACCCATGAGCCAAGCACACACACTCCTGGCTGATTATGGAAGGTTTGGGGGAGGGGGATTACAGAGGCTTGAACTTGGGACCTGCTCCTCTGCCCTGCAGTGCTGGCAGTACAGATGCACACAATGTTGTCTCCCTTCTAGAAGTTTAAAACTGCTCAGCTATTTTTGAATTTCATACAATAACATTACTTTTATAACAAAAATAAATCTTTTAAAAGGAAAACACACCCTCAGGCTATTAGGAGGAGATCACTGAGGATAATCAAGGGTACTGAAGTTCCTGCCATTAAAGAAAAGTGAAGTTCCATTCTTCTCATTGATAGGTGAAAAATTACACAGATACAAGAGTGGACGCTGCATTAGTAACTGAGTGTTCCTGCATCCCTTTGGACACATTTGCACAAAATGATCAACACCTAGCCTTACATTATGTGTTTCTTTTTTTTTTTTTTTTTTTTTTTTTTCTAGATGGGTTTCTCTATATTGCTTTGGAGCCTGTCCTGGAACTTGCTCTGTAGACCAGGCTGGGATTAAAGGTGTGCGCCACTAACGCCCGGCTATGTGTTTCTTTTTAAGGACATTATTTGTCATATACTGTGGATTCCCAGCTGCTGAGACAAGCATATTTTCTCCCTGAAATAAATCAACCATAATAGAAAGCACTCCAGCACCATGTTGTTTTTGGTAAAATTAGGAACAAAAACATTAAATGGGTAGATCATGGTGTTGTATTCCTTCAAGTGCAATGCAGCCATTTGGGGGTAGGGGACAGAACTTCTAGCCAGAACTACATAAGAGCCTATCTAAAAGTATAAACCAGGCTGGCATGCAGCTCTGTGGGAAGAAGCATGTATTAAGGCCCAGGTTCAAATTCTGGCACACAAAGGTGGCATTGGGCCTGTAAGCGCAACACGAGTGAAGCGTGATCCTAACCTCCACTGGGCATGTCATAAAAGATGACTCAAACTTCTCACTACTTTTCATGCTTGCAAAATGTCCTAGAAAGGTTGAATCCCCAAATGCAAAGTCAGTTTGTATTGAAAACTGAGTGCATTTTACATTCCTTCAAACAAACAACAAAAATGCAAAAATAACACACCAGAAAACACAACCTAGAACTTGCTTTGAACCCAAGGACCAAATGCCTCACCCCTCTGAGTGCCTGGAGCAATTTTTCATTTAACCCTCGGCAGAAGGTGCCTGAACAAAACAACAGTTCATTACAACAGACAAATGTCAAATATACCTCTGTATTTTTGCTAAAAACAGGCACTGCAAAGTTTGGCAACTTCAAACTTTTTGGTTCTTCTTAAAATAAAAATAAAAAACGTGCCGCCTTCTGCTGGTCAAACCCAAAGCCTAGGACAATGAGTTGCTGAAGGTTTCTCTCAAGCATGCAGCACATAATTAAATGGGTTAAGCTTGCACAAGTCCCAACCTTGCCTCCTCTGAATTAATTATATAACTGGTGTTTTGTTCCAAGCATTCCACAGTCACTGAGGCAACAAGAAGAAAAGGTAGGACAGGCACCATGCCATGAGTGCCAGCACCTGGTTCACGTGTGAGGGCGGGGTCTGCACGTCAGTTAACATCAGCAGCATACCTTGAGGGCCAAGTACCCAGTGGAGGGGATTTCTGTGTTCAGTTTCCACCAGAGGAGCACTTGGCAGAAAAGTTAAAACTACTGTTAGGGGCACTAAGGAGGGGAAATGGGATATTCTACCCTGTTGTTAAGTTGTTTTCTTCCTAATGGGGTCTGTGTTCTTACCTGAATGAAATGTGTGACCACATGGACATAGGCCCCTGCTGCCGCCACAAACATACAGAGTGCAAAGCTGGCATAGACCTTCTTCAGGTGCTGCTGTGTTGAGGGAGTTCTAGGAAAAAATGGTTATAATACATAATATCTAGACAAATCATTTCTCTGTAAGTGAAAGTTACATTAAGAACAGTTTGTGATAGATACTTTGGGAAGAACATATAATAAAAAAGAATGTTTGGAAAATGAGTTAACAGAATCTGCTAGAGAAGAACCCAAATAAAAAGAAACAATCAGTACCCAACCGGAGCAGGTGACTTGTTAGTGATGATACAGCAGCCCCTAGAATTTGCCTACTCCTACTAGGCTTCTCTGGAATCTAGCTGGTTTACTGACAACTATAAAAGTTACCCAACTAAGAAAAGAAACTAGATATGACAAGAAATGCAGCAAGTGACTGACTAGTCAAGGTTAAATCACTTACATATGGGAAAATTTTAAGAGGGCGTCAAAGTTGATCTTCCGATCAAATATGTTCATGGTTCCGAACTCTGCTCAGCACTCCTACTAAGAAGGAAGAAAACATATTTTATAGACACTGGGATATTTAAGAGCAGTCACATTAAACACAAAATAACAACAAAAAACAGTATACAAGCTTTGAAAAACTAAAAGTCCCCATTCAATTCCTTTTAGAGGACAAAGACAGGAACATGAAACCATCTTCTCCCCAAAACTCTTACACCATCTTAGAAAGTAATTACATTTTTTTTTTTTTTTTTTTTTTTCAAGACAGGGTTTCTCTGTGTAGCTTTGCAGACCAGGCTGGCCTCAAACTCAGAGATCCACCTGCCTCTGCCTCCTGTCCCAGCACTTGGGAGGCAGAGGTCAGCCTGATCTACAGTGCAAATTCCAGGGCAAGTTCCAAAGCTATACACAGAAACCCTGTCTTGAGCCCCCTCCCCCAAAAGATAGTTTACAAGAGAATTTTTCAATTAGAAATCTAGTTAAAGGAACCCATCCGAGTTTTGTTTGCTTTTTATTGAATGTGTGGGTAACATAACTGTCATGTGGAGGACAGAGGACAATTTCTGGAAGTTAGTTCTCACCTTCTACAGATGGTACTAAGTGTTAAGGACTGAAGTCTTGCTCAGCAAGGGCTTCACCAGCCTTGGAACAATTTTGTCACTGTTTCAAGATACTAGAGAACTAACTCTCACAGTACCTCAAAGATTTAAAAAAAAAAAAAAAAAAAAAAAAGCTATTCCAGTATATAAACCAGGCTGGTCTGAAACGCACAGAAATCTGTCTGCCTCCACCTCTGGAGTGCTGGGATTAAATGAGTGTACCACCATAAAGGAATGAAGTCAACTCTTGTACTAGGCCTTGCATTCTAACTATATACAAGCAGGAAATTTCCACTAACACATTTTTTAAAACTTCATGGAAAGTCACTCACAATTTTTTAAATTTCTGTATCTCCATGAACATAAAAGTATGCAAGAAAGAATTTTCTTTTTTTTTTTTACAGTAGTAGAACCTTTTAAAAAATATTATGTATACAGTATTCTGTCTGCATGTCTGCCTGCAGGCCATAAGAGGGCACCAGGTCTCATTTCAGATGGTTGTGAGCCACCATGCAGTTGCTGGGAACTGAACTCAGGACCTCTGGAGCAGCCAATGCTCTTAACCACTAAGCCGTCTCTCCAGCCCTAGTATTAGAACCTTTAAAAAATGTTATGGGTGTGGGGGCGGGGGACACGCCTGAGCATATATACATGAGAACCACATTCATGTAGTGCCCAAGAAGGCCTGATTACCTGGCACTGTAGTTGTAAGAAACTGAGTCACCCAAAATGGGTACTGAGAATCAAATAGTTCCTCTTTAAGAGCTGCAAGTGCCCTTAATTGCTGAGTAATCTCTTTAGGTCTCACCAAACCATCTAAGACATGGCCTTACTAGAGGCTCTGACTAGACTAGATCTTACTACACAGACCAGGCTGACCTTGAACTCAAGAGATCTGCCTGCCTCTGCCTCCCAAGTGCTGGGGTTAAAGGTGTGTGCCACTGTGCTTGGCTTCCTTGGAACCTTTCCTATAGAAAGACTGTAACTGTAAAAATTCCCTCTATATTCTTTTTAAAATTGTTGTGTGTATACTTGTGTGTGTGCAATTGTGGACATGTGCTTGCCACAGCATGTGTGTGGAGGTCAGAAGATGATGAGCTTGGGTCTTGGACCTCACCTTTCACTTGAGACAGTCATTTGTTCTTCACTACTGTTATGTGCCAGGCTAGCTGGCCTGTGAGCTGCTAGGGACCAAACACGGGAGCAACCATGCCTGGCTTTTACATGGGTTCAAGGGACTCACATTCAGGGCCATAACACTTTTGTGAGGACATTACCTTATGCGCCATCTCATCAACCCCCGATATTCTCTTAGATTTCCCAAATATTATTATGTGCCCTTTCCCTCCTCCGTATATAACAATATTTAATAAAGATTTAAAATATTTTCTTAAACTGTGTAGAGAGTGCTCTAGTACTTAAATGTGTACATCCAGAAAACTCATCAAAAGCAGAAAACTATAATCACCCGACTTAACAGATCTTATTCAGATTTTCCCAACAGTTCCATTTTAGAAACAAAGCAGGGCATCTATCACCCCTTTCCACTGTGATTCTTTCAAGTCAAACATGTGAAAGGTGCAACACACCTCCTCCAGACATATACTTAAAAGCCAAAAACAAAACCCAACCAAACCAAACCATATCCAGTTAAGATGGTTAAGTTTTGCTCCTTCTATCTCACATGCAATCCCAAACACACACACACACACACACACACACACACATTCAGTTTAAGAACTAAGATCTGATCAAGAGCTTTCTCATCTTTCCTAGAAACACACACATATACACCACAGTTCTTACTAAACACACAATGCCCACTCTATTCCCAATCTACCAAAAAGGGAGAGGGAAAGGCAAAGGACCATTAGTCTGCAACCAAAGTTACAATCCTAAAGTCAATTTCCGAGGACTGGTAGAAAGATGCAGTTTGTAAGGGTGACAGCGCCAGTGGTTTCCTTAGGTTCTCTTCCCTCAAAGGAAGCAATCACAAAGGTTCAGGCTGGCCTTCTCATCATGACCCTACTTACCTCGACTCTTGTTAATTTGGTTTAAGAACAGATCTGGTGAGAAGCTGCAGACCCTACCAAAGCTGCTGCTCTCCTCTCCAGTCACTGGCCTCTGTGCCCTCTTGGTCTAGATGGTGCAACTATTGCAGGCTGTTGCAAGGCCAAGCACAGTCTTCCACAACCATGATGAATGCATTCTCCAGAGAGAACACTTACAAGATGGTACAATCCAGCAACTGGAAAGTGTCTTTAAGGCTTCCATTAACACTCTTAATGACATCCCCAGAGAGAACATGCAACTTCCACAGCCAAGTTTCTCAGTAAGCACAGCAGAAGCACTGAAGTACCTCTTGCTTTCAATTTCAATCAGCAACAGCAATAGGGGGAGGGGGCATTAAATACCCAAGGGGTTGTTAGTCAGAAAGGGGCAATACTCATGTAACCAGCCCCTCTGAGGAAAAACTGTGAGAGAACACACCAGCAGAAACTCTTTTTTGACTGTCTCTTTTCTGGGGCTTTCAGTTGATTTAGAAAAAGAAAAAAGAAAAAAAGTAAGGCGGGGCTGGAGAGGGCTCAGCAGCTAAGAGTACTGACTGCTCCGTTACAGGACCAGGTTCAACCCTAGCACCCACACATCAGCTGACAGCTGTAAACCCCAGCTCCAGGGGATACAAAGCTCTACTGAACTCTGAGGGCACCAGGCACACATGTGACACATACACATATTTGAATGCAAAATACAATCTTAAAAAAAAGTCAAAGTATGTTTAAGAATGAGGATGTCAAATACTTAGTTTTTCCTTTATTAGTAACTTCATTTAAAATACTAATATATACAAAAACTTTCCCTTTTTTGGTCTTGGTGTGAAATATAGTCTCACTATGCAAGCCAAACCTCCAATCCTCAGTGTTCCAAGTGCTGGATCTGCATGTGTCACACCAGGTTAAACCGTCTCTATTTTTGTTTGTTTGTTTCACTACCTACAATTAAAAGGGGGGGGGCGGGGATCTGTGTAGACCAGATTGGTCTTGAACTTAGAGATCCTCCTGCCTCTGCCTACTGAGTGCCACCACACAGCCTCAGTAACCAGCCTACTTCAAACTTGAAGTGAAATAAGCTAACTACAGCAATGTTAATACTGTTAGTACAGAGGGTGGCAGAGCAATGAAAGGGTTAAGAGGCAAGGGTTAAGGACCTGACATCCATTCCCAGTAAAAACAATGTTGCCTCTCCAAAGTTGTCTTCTGGCCTCTACACACATGGTGTGTCATGTACACACCCATGGTCATACACTTCACATACATATACAACAATTAAAAATTTAAACTTTTAAAAAAAGTAGTAATGTATATGCCATATTTCATTTTGGAAATGTTAAAATGTTAAGGGGGAAAGCAGAATGGATGCTCTAGAGTTGTTCAAAGTGGGGCAAATAAAGGTATAAAGATAAAATGCTCCCTCAAGTTCCCCCACCCCCTTTTCTGAGTCAGGGTCTCACTATGTAGCTAGCCCTGGTTGGCTTGGAATTCACAAAAGAAATTCACCTGCTTTTAACTCCCAAGTGCTAGCATTAATGGTGTATGCTGCCATGCCTGGCCCTGACATATACATTAAAAAAAAAAAAAAAATCCAAATTAGGGTGTTTTATATGGTGTCAGACCCTCTTCTGTATTGGGCAATGTGTTGGATTTTTCTCTCATTCTTTTTCCTTCTTTCCTTTCTTTGAGACAGGGTTTCTCTGTATAACTTTGGAGCCTGTCCTGGAACTGGTTCTATGGACCAGGCTGACCTTGAACTAACAGAGATCCACCTGCCTGTGCCTCTCAAGTGCTGGGATTAAAAGCATGTACCACCACTGCATGGCAGGTTTTTCTGTTTTTAAAGAGGCAATGACTTTTGTTTTTGCCAAGGGAAAAAAAGAAATAGCCCAATGGTAGAACACTTGCCTAGCACAAGTGAAGCCCTAGGCTCAATCACAGATATTACAAAAATAAACACCATCTCAGTGATCTCAGTGTGTATGGGGGTCTAAACTGCTCCAAAATTCATTATAATACTTCAGATACAACTAAGACTATTACAAGGACTATAACAAACCAGGTATGCTGGCACACCTCTGTAATCTCAGGACTTGGAAGACAGAAGCAGGGTAAATTTAACTTTGAGGGTAGCCTGGGCTATATGATAAAGCTTAGTCTTAAGAAGAAAATCACTGGTCTATCTCATCATAAACTAACTCTAATTCATACAGAAACCCAGAAACCTAGAAATACTAAACTGAGATAATAGGAGGAATTATTTATACAAAATTAAATAAATAGCAGTGCTTTCTGGGGCATTGGAGAATTTGCTTATACTGCCTGTATAAAAGAAAAAGAAATGCTCAGATGTTTTAGTTACAACCAAAATCCTTTGGCTCTGCACCTCATTTTATGGCTCTATCTTTAAGGCAGCAGGAACTTGAAATAGCAACAGAACCTATCAAAATTTATGCACATACTGCTACAGTTTTGTTGAAGTGTCACCAAAACTGTGATGATGGGCAAACTCCTCAAACTACAAAACAAAAAGCAAGAGCTGAGAGGAACATAACTAATCTCAGCATGGATGGCTGAACAGAGTAGGGTGTTCAGCAGTGCTCTGGCTTTCATAGTTGAGACAACTAAAAACAAGACCACCCCCAGCCTGAGGCATGTCTCAGTGACAGAGCACTTTAGGACTATGATCAAGGCCCTACATTCAATCCTCAGGACTCAAAATACACACAAGCACATGCATGCACAACAAAACTTCCAAGCTTACTGAATAGTTTATTTCTGTGACCTCCTTTTGCTTGGCAGGATAAAGACTAGCCTGTCTTGTTAAATCTGTTTCCGTTCCAGGGACCCTTCTTATCCTTATCCTAAAACAAAAGGTTATTATCTAGTAGTGGTCATGCCTTCCAAAGTGTGTGTGTTAGCACTCATGCATACATACATACACACACACACAAACACACAAACACACACACACACACACACACACACACACACACACACACACACACACACACACAGCACCGGGGACAGCTCAGTGATAGAGTGCTTTCATAGCATGTAAAAGGCCCTACCCCACCACTGGAAAAAAAGACTTCATTTCAACACATATAGTAAATACAGTACAAATAAGGTATGCAAAAGCCTCTAAATCTACTCCAAACTAAGTATCACAGTTGAAAACTACAGGAGTTTCCTCAATGTACACAATCTAACAACATTAATAAGCCAAAGAAACACTATTTAGATACACTTAGATACTAGACTATGAATTACTTTGTTTTACCCTCCTGTTGAATTACTTCAACTATCTTGATTGCTTTCTCTGACTAAATAGGTAAGTAAAAGAAAAACTCAGGGCTGATGACAGAGTTTGATTCCCTGGATCCACATGTAAGAGAACCAACTCCTAAATGTTGTACTCTGACCTCTATACACATGCTCCTCCACATACAAGAAATGATGTCATTTAAAGCAAAGGGCAGGATCATCACTTTTGACTAGTTTTCAGCTACACTGAGGGTGTAGCTCTAACCAATCCCTAGTACTCAACAAGCTTCTAGCACTAACTTCACTGTGCTTCAGTTTTATCATTTACAAACCAGTTAACTACAATACTCTTTACTTCATGGGGTTGAATATTAAGTGAGACAGTACAACTAAGTGCTTAGAATATCACACTGTGCACACAGGACAAGCTCACTGCATGTTCACCTGCTTTTAGTAGACTTCTATTTAAGCCTGATTTACACAGATCATGTAATTGTTTAAAAAATAAGAAGATTTAATAGTTAAATAGATAAGAAAGAAGTCTAAGAAAACAAACTAAAATTTGAAGGATCCAGACAAATCCCATTCCTAGTTAAAACTGCTTTGTTTAAATAGCATACCTCTCCTCTAACCATTTACTGTACCTCCTGCCCCAGAGGGCCATGAGATGCTTTGAGACAGCCTAGTAACTAGGTGATAGATGGCCATGGTAGAGTTTGTTCAAGTTAACTTTGTTATTAGCTGATACTTTTGCTACTCTAAGAAATACTCAGCTCAGTTTCAAGACACCCAAGGTTTCTTGTTTCATCCAGGGCTGGGCCTATATCATTAAGAGACATGAAGTCTTAGAGCTCTCTCTCTTAACCCCAAACCCCCAGGTTAAGCTACCACTGTATTTATCTCTGGTGAGGGCTGCCTCAGAACCATTACTGAAGGAATGCCTTCCACTTTCAATTCTTTTGAGACAGGCTCTCTATGTATCCCTGGACATTTTGAAACTTTTTTTCGTAGACCAAGCTGGCCTTGAACTCAGAGGATTGACTGCCTCTGCCTCAGGAGTGCTGGGATTAAACCTGTATACCATTTCACTTGGCTCAAATTTACTATTTTTTTTTTAACTAAGTCTGAAACTACTGACTCTCCCTCTCTAAAACCACAACTCTTTGTCAGAAGTATAAGGTTTCAATGTCCTAAATACATAATCTTCCATTAGAAACCATTAATCCCTCCCCCATTAATAACTTGTTCATTCCCCCAAGAAAGAAAAAGCATAGAGCCATATGATGGCTCACTGGCTGTTCTCCCAAAGGACCTGGGTTCAATTCCTAGCATGCATATGGCAGCTCACAACTGTTGTTAACTCCAAGATCTGACACCCTCACAAATACATTTTGAGCAAAACACCAATGCACATTAAAAAAAAGAAAAAAGAAAAAGCATAAATTAGGAACAAAAGAGTTCTATAACTTCAACATTCCTTAGCTAGCACACTCAAGAGTGGAATCTACTCAAATGCAATCCAATCTCTACAGCCTGTAGTGAAATATTCACTTCTCTCTTGTCTTGAATACTACATTTGGGGAATGTGTGCTACCATGAAATTTGGTTAGAAACTTTACAAGAAAACTGGATGAAATAGAAAACATTTGTACCAGAGCCTATAGCCAAGTCAGACTAGCAAAGAAAAACTCAGAAGTGAGAACATTATGTGTGGCTTCCCCAAAGGAAATTAATACCCTTGGGCAGTTTATGAAATAAAATGAAACTCTTCAAGTCAGTATATTATCTTCAATGATAATAAGTATCAATTTGATCCCTTCTGGATATACAGGCACAGAGTTCAAATGGTTGAATTAATACAGCAGGGGGTGGGGGAGAGGTAACTCACAATCCAGTATTTAAGTATGTAAAAGTGCTTGACTTGTTACCTTAGTCGTTAAATTGCATAAGCTGAGACACAACCCATATTATCTTCACAATTAGTTCATGAAGAAAAGCAGGAAACATTCCCACATTCAAGTTTGTTTGTTTGTTTTAATAGCAGTATAATAGTGGCAAGAGAATTACTTCTAGGGTTACAAATCCTACCTTTTCCACCACATAACCTTGAGATAATAATTTTACCTAATTTAACCCCACCTTTAATTGTAACATACATTTGATTAATACCAGTTCTACCAACTCTCAGAAAAATATGTATGTCTGCCAGTGGTGGCTCATGCCTTTAATCCCAGCAGCACTCAGGAGGCAGAGGCAGAGAGATTTCCAGGTTCAAGGCCAGCCTGGTCTACAAAGTGAGTTCCAGGACATCCAGGGCCACATAGAGAAATTGCCCCCCCCCAAAAAAAAAAAAAAAAAAAAAGAAAAAGAAAAGTATGATTTCTTTGTAAGACTAACCCAACATTAGTACTGGTTTGACCAACATCAGAAAGTTAGAATAGGTGAGCCAGAGCCTGATTCAAGTTCCTGACACCCACGACAGAAAAGTACATTTTCAATATGGCAATGTTATAAACATATGTTGATTCCTACCACACTCATGTATTTTTTAGCCCTTCTACCAAGAACAAGAACTGTATCTGTAACAAGGAGGAAATACTGGAAATGCTAAGTATTCTAATTATTTTTCCCTTTTTCTAGTCATTAGGAAAGCCAGCTTCTTCGTTCAGACGAGAACAAGGTTGTGCAACCTTATTTCCACATGATGGAATAATGGAAGATCCAAGTTACAGACTATTTCTCAAGGACTCAATTCTCTACAATTCTCTACTAAAGGAAAATCAGAGAAGACTCTAAATGTCAACTTATTCTCCAAGCTGGAACAGAAACAATTTTAGATAATGAAGAAACATCAAAGAAAACAAATGTAACAATTAACCGACCTATGTGTTCAAAGAAGCCATGAAAACGTGATTATGCAATCCAGGGAAATCTTTCTTGACCCTACCCATACAGCCCCAAGATAAATTATACATAAAAATCAATAAGTAACTAGAAATTCTGCCATTGACCTTTAACCTTAAGTTCCTTGTGTTTCAGGCAGTTAGCTCTTCTGAAGTGTTACACATTCACAAGTGTTTGTGTAACTGGAGAGTCTCAAGTTCAAAGTGGTTTTGTTGTGGTTTGGTCAACAGAAGCCTGATTGGACAGGAAATGCAACCTGGCCTGGCATGAGACAGCTTGTTCTTGTTGGTAAAATAAAAAAATAAAAACAAAAGAAAGAAAGGAAAAAGAAATGCCAAAACCTACTTATCATGTTTAGTTAAGTTGGTCCAAGGGGAAAAAACGCCCATCGCCGCCCTTCCGGAACAAACTCTGGGACTCCCGACAGGGTTCAGGACCAAGCAATCTAGGCCACCTCACCTGTCCGGAAGTAATCAATCAGCTCACAGAGGGGCTGCTCCGTGGGGCTGGGAAGCCAGGTCAAGCCCCGGTCTTCTTACCTCCAACCTCTACCGTTGGCTTCCAAGTAACTAAGGAATCTCGCGTGTCACAGAGAAGTGTGACATCACCCGGCCCGCCGTGACAGGGCAGTCCGCCTACCCAGGCCTAACTTGAGTCCCCGACCCCGGTGGCACACCCAGGCCAGGCGGAGGGAACCCGAGAAGGCGCAGGCGAGCCGCGATGGCTGGGTGGGGTAGAGTGATCACAAACAACACTGCTTTCTCTTTCGTTTACCTCCAAGTCAGTAGCGGGGGAACCTGTCTTGAATTCAAGCCCTGAACTCGGCTGAGGGGAAAATGGTGGAAACTGAAAGGGACGCAAAAAGAGGGTCACTAAAGGGCCTTCGCCACAAAACCTGGCCCTATGGCCCGGGAGACCCCGCAGACTCGCCCCCGCCCCGCCCCCGCCGGCGCTGCTGCGCATGCGCGGCACTAGTTCCTCCGCGTCCCTCTCGGCCCAGCACCGATCTCGACGCCGAGCCGGCCTGGTTCCGAAGGACCGAGCTGTCCGAAAACGGAAGCCACTACCCCCTCCCTTAGCATCCCTCGCTCCGGGTTTGCCTCGTCCTGGCTTCGCACGTACCTTCTAAGTCCGCCACTCAAGAGCTCCCCAGCTCTGCTAAAACCGGATGTGCTCTGAGTCTCCCCGGGTTGGCACCGGAGCTCTACCCACGCCCGCCCCTGGAAGCCCCGCCTCCTGACCCGCCCAGGCACGCTTGCATTGGTCCTTGGCTGCGCTTCCGCCTTTCCATTGGCTTACGTTCATAAACAGCAGCTGCTTACGTCAGAGTCATCGACAAATGCACTTGTCAATCAAGACTGTGGCCACCAACCGGCACCGGAGCCACAGGCCTCCGCCTTCTTCCCCCTAGGAAGGAGGAAAGTCTGTCTGACGCCATCGGTAGAGACCCTGAAGTGGGATGTGTCCCAAGAGCGCTGCCAAGGGACACCCCTTGACACTAACGACCACAGCGCTAAAAAGTCCTGAGATGCTGGTTTTAGGCTTCTCGTGGAATAGTAAAGAGGGAAAACTCCTCCCTGGGACCTTTAAACAGGGAATATAGTGGATCTCAAGTTTCAGAGCACCTTTGAAGTTCCAGCCAGCCATTCTACAGGAACCCAAGGACCACAGTCTGAAGGCCACTCTCTGAGGCCACGTGGTGGTCCTGAAGCCCCAAGTAAACAGGCCACGACGATCGCTTTCCTAGTCACCTGCACAGTTACCAAGGACCCTGCAAGTCAGGTGTGATCAGGGCAGCCAAGACTGGTCTTGCAGTCCTAACTAGCTCTTTGGAGACCTGGCCAAGGGAGGTCAAAGAGCAGGTGTCTTCTTTAAGGCGTGTCTTAGCCGGAACACACCAGTTCTTGGCTAGCATTGATTACACAGCACTGTTGGGAAACATTAATTTATCAAAATTGACGAAAATATTTAAAATTAAACTGTTATGGCTAGAGAAGCTCCGTTTTATGCTAGGCATCCATCTTGATGACCACCAATCATTTGTCTTTGACCCCAGTCCCTGGAAGATAAGTTCCCAATAACCCTGACAGTGTACCTCACCCAAACATGTACAACTATGACTATTTGTTATGATATTGTTATATGACTGGTTTTTTGTGTATTTTTGTTTGTTTGCTTTGTATTTTTGCTTCTGTAACTTGCTTTAACAGACACCCAAAGATTAATGTGAGTTGCCTTAATCACTTAACTTGGCAGAACACAACAGTTTTTATTTACTTGCATAGGGACTGAAGGTCTCTCCATGTGGTTTCCCCTTTTCTTCCCCATGCCTGTCCATCATAGCACTCTCAAATTTAGCTCTGAGATTGTCCATCCCGATAACAGTTAATCATTTAACTATAATTGGATTGAGCCTATAGTCTTTTCCTAGGAGCCACAAACTCCATAACAAAAGAAAAAACTAGCAACCCTCCCCCCCCCCCCCCCCGCAAGGATATGGAATCTCCCTATGTAGCTCAGCCTACCACAAATTCAGCTCAGATTAGCCTTGAATCCACCTTCCCTATTCCTAGTACCAGGCTGACAGGCATGCACCACCAAACCCTACTTTTGGGTGCTTTTGAGAGCTGCTCCAAACTGCCTATTTCAAACACTGAGCTAGAATGAATCAATACATCTTTCAAAAATATACATTTCAGGCCAGGCATGATGGAACAAGGCTTTAATCACAGCAATCATGAGGCAGAGCAGGTGGATCTCTGTAAGTTCAATCCAGCCTGATATACAAAGTGAGTTCAAGGACAAATATGACTGTACAGAAACTCTGCCTTAAAAAACAAACAAACAAACAAACAAAAAATAAACCCCAGGTGAATATACAAACAAAATGTGGTACAGCTATACAATGAAATATTATTTAGCTATAAAAAAGGTTGAAGGTTAAGTGTGGTGGTAATTCCAAACCTTGGCTACATAACAAGTTCCAGGTTAGCTTAGTGTCTTAGATCCTGTTCGATTGCTGTTAGTCCATGATCATCATGGCAGGAAGCAGACAGGCATGGTGCTGGAGCTGTAGTTGAGAGCTTTACACTCTGATCCACGGGTGGCAGGCACAGGGGAAGGGGGGTGTTGGCTGGGCCCTCCCACATCAATCATCAATCAAGAAAAATGCACCACAGGTTTGCTTATACACCAATGTAGTGGCAGGGTTTCTCAATAGTTGTTCCCTCTTCCAAAATGACTAGTTTGTGTCACGCTGACTTAAAAGTAGCAAACAGTATATTAATATATATTAATTATCACATATACTAATATAATAATCAGTATACTGATATATGTTTTGTTTTGCTGGAATTAAGGATGTATGCCACCATGCCCCACATCTATCTATCTGTTGATGAATCTTTGGGTTCTTTCTACTTCCTGTCTATTATGAACAATGCTGTCACAATGCTGCTATAGAAAACTATCACCAGATGTGAGCCCTTGAACAGCTGTGCAGTAAATAAACATCTTTTCCTCATAAAGTTATCCAGCTTTGAGTATTTTGCTACAGTATCACAAAAAGGACTAGGCCAATGGAAAGTTCAATTGCTAGATCATATTATAACTTTATTATTTACATTTATTTATTTGAGAGAACCACTTTAGTTTCTCACCATCAGTACACGAAAGTTCCTATTTCTCTATATCATTGCCAACATTTTTTTGCCAAGAATTTTGATGTATTATTATTTGAATAGATATGTGGTAGTTTAAATGTAATTGGCCCCATAATCTATTAGAGAGTGGCACTATTAAGCAGTGTGGCTTTGTTAGAGTGGGTATGGTTTTGTTGGAAGAAGTGTATTACTGTGGGGGTAGGTTTTGGGATTTCTTATGCTCAGGATACCACCCAATCGTTTCCTGTTACCTGTTAGGACTCTCAGCTACTACCCCAGCATCTCAGCTGCCTGCATGCTGCCATGCTCCCTGTCATAATAATAATGTACTGAATCTCTGAAACTGTAAGCCAGCCACCCCAATTATATGTGTTTTTTTTTTTTTTATATAAGAGTTGTTGTGGTCAGCCAGGCGATGGTGGGGTATGCCTTTAATCCCAGCACTCTGGAGGCAGAGGCAGGTGGATCTCTGTGAGTTTAAGGCCAGCCTGGTCTACAGAGAGAGTCCCAGCACAGAGTCCAAAACAACACAGAGAAACCCTGTCTCAAAAAAAACAAAAATAAATAAATAAATAAATAAAATAAAATAATTTTCCTGAAGCCTTACATACCTTAAACAAAACCCTGTTTAGGAGACTGGAGAGATGGCTCTGTGCTGTCTGCAGAGAACCCTGGTTTTATTCCCAACACTCACTTGGCTGCTACAATGGGCTATAACCCCAGTTCCAAAGGATCCAATGCTCTCTTCTGGTCCTGGTAGGTAGTAGATTCATGTAGTGCACACACACACGTGTAGACTAAACACCTATACATATACACATAAATAAAATAAATGAACCTTTTCAAAACAAAACATAACCTTGTTTTCACAACTGAGAAGTGGGGAATTACATTATGGTTTTACTGAAAAATGTTCCCCAAAAGTTCTTATGTTTGAACACTTGGTCCCAAGCTGGTGGTGTTATTTGGGAAGCTGTAGAACTTTTGGGAGGTAGGGCCTAGATACAGGAAGTGGATTTCTGAAAAGCGGGTCCTAGGTGCTATAATTAGACCCTACTTTTAGCCCTCTCTCCCTCTACTCCCCCACCCTGCCCACAGTTCTTACTCCCTGTGTTGTGGGGAGTCTTAGCCACATACTCCTGCCCCTGTGGAGCCACCATGTCACTATGCCTTCCCCATTGTAACAGGGCTCCAGACCTTTAACACAACTGACTCCATGATGGAAGTACCATTCAGGCCACAATTAGCATGTAAACAGTAGCCACCTGCCAAAATGAAAACAAAGACCTAATCCATGAAAGTCCATAGTTTCTGGGAAAGTCTCTGAATGTATTAACCTTGCTTCATTCAGACCTAACTGGGTGGACAACAGGAGAACACAATAAGAATATGACAACCCACCTAGGGCTCATCGAGCATTGCACCTACAGAATGAACCAATTCATAGTAATTATGAAGCCTTTGCCCAGTTTCTTCCACAGCTCCGTAAAAAACGCCTAAACAAGGATGTTCAACAGCTTTTTCCTCCCTTGAGAACCTCTCACAGGAGTTTCTTTCACTTTAATATCTCAATTTTCCTTAATTTGCCACTTTCCCTTAATATGTCTCTTTTTTTAACCCAACACATTTATTATATGAAATCCAGGAGTACATAATGTACATACAGTACCCCCTTAATTATTATTAGTGTGTGTGTGTGTGTTTGTGTTTTGCCTGTATGTATGTCTGTGAACCACTTGTATGCAGTGCCCTCAGAGACCAGAAGGTTTCAGATTCCCTGGAATTAGAGTTACAGACAGTAGTGAACTGCCACATGGGTGCTGGGAATTGAACCTGGGTCCTCTGGAAGAGCAGCCAGTGATCTTAACCACTAAGTCATCTCTCCAGCCCCTCCTTAATAGCCCTTAATAAAGCTAGCATTCCACTTTGCTTCCAAAAGGGTCTGCATTTTAGCCAGCCAGTGGTGATGCACACCTTTAGTCCCAGCACATGGGAGGCAGAGGCAGGAGGATCTATGTGAGTTTGAGGCCAGCCTGGTCTACAGAGTGGGTTCCAGGATGGCCCCAAAGCTACAGAGAAAACCTGTCTCCTCAAAAAAAAAAAAAAAAAAAAAAAAAAAAAAAAAAGTCTTTAACTTCATTGGTGTGAGACAATAAACCCAAAGCCACTGTCCCAGATAGGTCTTTAGTTACTGTGAGTATTTGGCGCCCTATGTCCTTGGGTTAATAATAACTGCACCAAGAAAGGTCCAGGTACATTCAAAACTCAGGTAGGCTCTTGTCTTTTTGTTTTGTTGATTTCTTTTTCAAAACAGGGTTTCTCTGTGTAGCCCTGGCTGTCCTGGAACTCACTCTGTAGACCAGTTTGTCCTCAAACTCACAGAGATCCACCTGCCTCTGCCTCCAGAGTGTTGGAACTAAATAAAGGTGTGCACCACTACCACCTACCATTGTAGGCCTTCTTGTTAGAGAAATGGGGGCTTCCCCCCCCAGGAAGCAGTTTGTTATGACCCAGCAGCATCAGTCTATGGCAGTGATTTTCAACCTGTGGGTCTCAACCCCTTTGGTTGACCTT